GTATTGTGTGAAAGACTGAAGCCCACCGTCAATGAACTGATTGGGCCTTATCAGTGTGGCTTTAGACCTGGCAAATCCACCATAGACCAGGTATTCACAATACGCCTTGGATAAGACCCGCGAGAAAAGGATCGACACTCACCATCTATTTGTCGACTTTAAAGCCGCTTTTGACAGCACTAAAAGGAGTTGCCTATACGCCGCTATGTCTGAATTTGGCATCCCCTCAAAACTCATACGGCTGTGTAAAATGACGTTGAGCAATACCACCAGCTCCGTCAGAATTGGAAAAGACCTCTCCGAGCCGTTCGCCACAAAACGGGGTTTCAGACAGGGCGACTCCCTTTCATGTGACTTCTTTAATCTGATGTTGAGAAGATAATAAGAGCTGCAGAACTGAACCGCTCAGGAACAATTTACTATAAGAGCGTGCAATTGCTGGCTTATGCCGATGACATCGACATCATCGCTAACAAAAACCGCGAAGTCTGTTCTGCCTTTTCCAAGTTAGATAGGGAAGCAAAGCGAATGGGTCTGGTGGTAAACGAGGACAAGACGAAGTATCTCCTGTCATCAAACAAGCATGACTGCACATTCGCGCCNTTTACAACGATATGGACATAGTGCAGCGAATTAAAATACAGCGGCTCCGCTGGCTTGGTCATGTCGTTCGAATGGACACCGACGCTCCAGCTCTGAAAGTATTCAACTCGGAACCCGCTGGTGGTAGCAGAGGAAGAGGAAGGCCCCCACTGCGATGGAAAGATCAGGTGGAGAAGGGCTTGGCTTCACTTAGCGTTTCCAATTGGCGTCAGTTGGCACAGAGCAGAAACGACTGGCGTGCTTTGCTGAACTCGGCCACAATCGCTTAGGCGGTTACAGCGCCAAAAAAGAAGAAGTCCAATTAATTTAATAAAGCGGTCGTACGNGGACCATATGTGGTTACTAAAGTCCTTCCACATGACCGTTACTTGGTTGAAGATTTGCCAGACAGGCAGAATACTCGCAAGAGGTACTCTGGAGTGTTTACCAACGATAACATGAAACCTTGGTGCTCCATTGGATCGGCAGAATCCGATGAGGCTAATCTTAGTTATGATGACGGCGACGTAGATCACGAAGTCGGAATTGATGATGACGCAAAATCGTCCGGGAGAGACGATTCATCAGGAACGGCCGAGCTGTAAAGTTATCTGGCAACCCTTGACGACGAGGCATGTCTGCAAGAGAGTGGCAGCAGTCAGGAAGTCGGTGAACGTCAGGGAGAGAGACTGGTCGTGTGCGGAAGCGACTACGAATATTTGCTTATCAATCAATTAAATAACTTTTTCTATTTTCTAAAACTAAATTACTTAAATAAACCTAATTTTACTGAATACAACTTCAGCGTTGTGAGTACATGTGTTTTGCTTGTCTCATAAAACGGCCATCCCGACATAATTATTATAAAAATTTAAAAATGGTTCTGGATTAGCGTGGACCAAATTATTGGCAACCTTTTCTTTTCAAATTTTTTATTTATTTCAAGGCAAGCATAGGGCGCATCAAGAGACTCACAATTTAATATAAAAAGCTAATTTATTTTGGAACGAATTTCCGTCATCCCTTGCCAAGCTTGACAAGGGATGACGGAAATTCGTTCCAAAATAAATCATCTTACCACCCTGTCGGAAAAATCAACCAACACCAACATAAAAAGCTAAATCCAAAATCTTTGAAACACTTGTAAATAAACATACATACCCTTAACTTTCAATTAATCCAAAAATAGTTAAAGTTTTTTTCCAAAGAAAAATTTTTTTTAGCTTCAAAGCTAACGTTAGTTTACTGCTGCTAATGGCACTTTTTAACTTATCGTCAGAGACCCACAGTTTGACAGCTAATTACGCACAGAAAAATAAGAATTAATAGAAATGCTAACTACCGTTATATACAGAAGGCATTGCGTGCATAAGCCACTTTAAAAAAATTTCAAAAATGCAACTTAAAAAAAAACAATTATTCCCTCCTAAACCAAGCAAAAGTGCCACTGTGCGACGCCGAAAAGGGCCACAATTCTAAATGCTACAAAGAGCCACAAAAAACCAACAAAAACAAAAATTTTATTTTTAAATAAAACTATTACTAGAAATGAAAAACATTAATTTCATTATTATTCTAACGTACGTAAGATAGATATTTAAGAAAATTCAAAAGAAGCTTTTGGCTAAATTTTCAATATCTGGTATTACGTCAGTTAAAGCCGTTCGAACAGTTCTGTTAAATGTTGGTTGGTCAATAGGTACGTTCGTTTAAAATCTCCAGTAAAAAATATCCAACAGCAAAATTTCGGCGAAATGTCATCTGTCAAGGGAAAAATATCCAAAATAGTACGCGAACAGAAAATTTGTAGAAATTTGCAAGTTAGGCAAAGAGCTGATAGAAATTTTGTTTACATTCAAAAGTATAAAATTGAAAACGTTAGAAAACAAATCCCGAAGTCTTACCCTGACACAGTTCACTGACTAAACGAATAATTACTTACTTCCTAAAAGTTTATTTAGTCGCACTTTACTATTTTAACTTCCAAAGCATCAAATTAAATTTAGGGATTTGCGCAAATTCCAACCAGCTGTTTTCTTGTTGGCAAACATTTTTCCAGCAGAAACTAGCAATTTTCCGTCAAAATTAAATGTTATTGTGTTCTCTCAATTTCCCCTACTTTGCAAGTTTTTTTGCGTACGCGAACACAAAAAGCTGATAGTTTTTATAACTTTCAATAATTATCAGGTACGCAAATGCAACTAATTGTGAGCGCTATTTTGACATTACGAATTTCATTGGAATGGAATGGAAAATATACGGCACGCAGCTGCTTTCAACAGCGGATATTTAAAATCTGGTCCTTGTTGCCGGAATTCAATAAATGTTGAATACCTTTGACAATAGAAAGGTGTTCTGCACAAAAATACTGTTTATCGAGTTCACATTTCCGGTGTCAAAATGCTAATTTTAGACCATTTTCCAATGGTTCCCCAGGGGTGTGGGGAAGGTCTAGAGGGATCTGGTGTGATTTTTTACAAAGTGTGAACTATGCTAGATACCAAGAGCCGCGCCCCCTTGCCCTCCCCCCACTAACCCAAAATCAGTGGGCAACTAACTAAACATATCCAATTTAACTATTTGTGCGGTAATATATCTGCGTAGTTTTACACAATTATTTAAACATTGCAAGGCACAATGCAGTCTGCAGTGGCAAATTGTAAAAGTGAAAGCAAAAGGAAAGCGTGCGATATAAGTAAGGTTTTTTCTACATACATATAACTTCATGCATTTTTCCAACAACCAGCAAATGCTGAAAATCGTACTTACCTAAATGCCTACGTGCCCAAAATAATTGCTACGCGTTCCTATTTAATTAAATTATTAATTAATTCCTGCAAAATTTGACCATTTAATATTGATATTAACACATTATTCGGCATTATTTACATATTTTCCTATGCGTTTTGGCATTTCTCACTCTCAATTGTGTATTCTATCATTCTTGTAGACTGATAGATCTCTCTCAGCTCTCTCCACCGGCAAATCTGCGATGACGTCATATTCACGTTACTCACCCGAATACAGAGTGCCAAATAGTTTTCGCATCGCATTGCGTTACGCATCGCAGAGTAGCCCCCCAGCACAGGTCGGCCAGGAAAACATTAGGGAAATGACCTAATAAATGCAAAATTATAATTTATTTGTAAAATAATTCGGTGTTATTACAATGGGTAGGTTCAGAAGGCGCATCAGTTGAGCGCAATCGTTGCTAAAAAATCAGTGATCGTAATGCGTCTTCTGAACGGCTTGATACATTAGCTGTCAAAATCAAAACACGCAACATGTTGTCTCAAATGATCATAAAAATATTACGATCATTTAAAACGCAACTGTTCAGTTGATCAGAAGTACAAAACAACACGTTCAGAAGGTGCAATCGCAACAGTTACTGAGCTGTTGCGCCTTCTGAACGTGCCCAATACTTACCAAATTTCACGCAATTAGAAAACAAATGTCAGCGAATAAGAACAAAACGAACAACGAAAATTTTGAATCAATGTAGCTTGTTTAGAACTTTTTTCTAATATTTTGGGAAATGTTCAGTGAAATTAGCAAAAAAGCGACACAGTTTCTCCTAACGTAGTTCAAGATGGCGGATTAGAGCGAGAAGTTGCCAACGTATAACACCTTTCATTATTGCATCATGGTGTAGGTTATGTTAACGCAAAAAAGGGACCACCGTACATATTTTCTATCGAAATATGCATATAATTCAGAAATAAAGTAGGGAAGTTATCACAAATAAAAGTGTGTCTCCTACATTTTTTTTTGTATTTTTACGATGCAAAAATTGGTGCGTTGATTGCTCATGTTTCAGTTTATAATTAGCTGGTAGCATTTGGAGAGGAGAATCGAATGTAGCTCGGTAGAAGTATGTGTTTGCCATAGAAAAGAAGTTGAGAAGAGTCAAAGTGGCGTGACTCCATTTTTTTTAATTGTGCCACTCGCGGGTTTTATAGTAGTTGGTGCGTGCCTAAAACTGTTATCGGACAACTTTTATAGTGTTCTGGAGCATAAAATGAATCAATATAGACGTGACAGGCTTATGTGCTCTCATTAGAAGATAGTTAAAAAAAAAACACCTTCTTTAAAAGGTAACGAAGCGTGCACAAAAGTAAAAATGCATATTTTTTATTAGCACATCGATCGCACTTGGAAAATTTAGCCAAATATGTGTGTGCTTCATTGTACAATATACTATTGGACTATGATCCTCGTGCACCACTTTTTTATTCGTTTTTTAATAAGTTACAGAGCGAAAAAGTAAGAAAAATTACAAAAAACAAAAACAATATATACTTTTGTATGGGCCAAATTCCTATGAATTTTGTTTGCTGGGTTGGAGCTGCTTCGGTCGACGGAGTAAAAAGGCGAAATGTTTATATTTTCCCCTTGTCCCTCCTTCGCGTTTCGACACTCTCGTGTCATCTTCAGAGAGTCTGTCTTATTTAAACGATTAACAATAAACATGAACGAAAACCATGATTAACAAAAACATAATAATAGTTGCATACATACATATATACACAACAATAGTTACATACATACATGTATACTTAACAATAATTACATACACACATAATATTACTTGAAACTCACATTAAATAATGACAAGAATTTTACATTAATTTGCACAGTTTGAAAGTAATACAACATTTAGGAAGAATTATTCGAATGTTTGCTTATTTATATTTTAATTTTATTACGGCTGCATATGTATTTTTCCTGTTGTCGACGTCATCCTTAGTCCCGGTTCAGACAGTTAAACTTTTGTCGCGGCAACTCGTTACTTGTGGGGGAGAGAGTGACGAGGAAGGGGGAAGGGCACCGAGTAGCTCGTGCTCGGGTAACACGCTTTGTGCTCTCGTTCGTCTGAATAATTCTAGTTGGTCGTTTAGAGCTGACATCAACAATTGTGTACAAAAGAATTGCTCTGTGTGAACGCGAAGGGCAACACAAAAAGGGAGTGTGAACCCAGTCTTAAAGTTGATTGCGTTGTCCAATTGTTGTTGTATTCGCAAGC